TCTGAACTTCTTAGCTGCCATCTCAAAAGAAGGAACATAGCAAGTCACCAAAATCACACTGTGCATCTGTTAACACAACCTAAATTTAATAGAATAATTTATTTGAGCAAGAAAAAAAGATTCAAGAATCAAGAAGCTCCCAGATCAAAAAACGGTCATAGGTTCTGCTCTGGCAGAGTGATTAGGCAGGCCTTACAAGTTGAACATGGATGGAAAGAAATAAACTCACGGGCAACACATAAGTGTTTGCATAATTTGGGTATGGTCTAATAGGAGGTCTCTAGTTATATAACCACTGGGCTGGTTAGCTGTTTGTGAATGGGTGAGGTGAGTCTTTTTTAAAGTACTTACAAGAAATGCTTCCAAGCTTTACTTTGCTTATTATGAACTCTGGGTACAGGGACAACCTCATGCTAATGCCTCCTTCCTATTTAACAAATATCCAAGGTTAAAGACAAAAGAGTAGTCTTGTGATTTCTCAAAAGGTTGAATTCAGAATCATCATATGATCTGGAATTTCACTCCAAAAAACAAAACTAAAAGAACTGAAAATAAATGTTCAGATACTTGTACATCAGCATTCATGGTAGTATTACTCATATAACCAAACATGGAAATAACCAAAATATCCATTTATGGGTAAATGGATGAAGAAAATGTGGCATATCCATCCAATGAACTGTCATATATTGATAAAAATAAAAAGGACTGATGCATGTTACAACATGGATGAACTTTTAATTTATTCTAAATGAAAGGTCACATAAGGTTTAATTCCACTTATGACATATCCAGAAAAGTTAAACTCAAAGAGATAAGAGGTAGTTTAGTGGTTACTAGGGGTTGGGGAAAGAAGAAAGCAAGAAGTGACTACTTAAAGAGCATGGCATTGCCTTTGGGGTGATAAAATTATTTTGGGTCTAGGTTGAGGTGATGGTTGCACAACATTGTGAATGTGATAAATGTCACTATTTGTACATTTTAAAATGATTAATTTGGGGGCTGGCACAATAGTACAGTGGGTTAAGCTGCTGCCTGCAACACTGGCAACATATAAGGGCACCAGTTTGAGTTCTGGCAGCTCCACTCCCAATCCAGCTCCCAGCTAATGTGCCTGGGAAAGCAGCAGAAGATGGCCCAAGTACTTGGGCTCATGGGACTTATCAGAGTCCCATATGAAGTTTCTAGCTCTTGACTTCTGCCCGGCACAACCCTGGCCATTGTGGCCCTCTGGGGAGTGGAGTGAATCAGCAGATATAAGATCTCTCTGCTTACTGTTTTCTCTCTATATATAACTCTGCCTTTCGAATAAACAAATACATATTTTTTAAAAATGGTAAATTTTATGCTATGTGAATTTCACATTAGAAAAAATAAAGCAAAAACAAAGTGTCGTCATACAAAGATACAGCTACATTCTTTAAGGAAATGAACATGGGGCCGGTGTCGTGGCACAGTAGGTAAATTCTCCGCCTGCAGTGCCAGCATCCCATATAGGCGCTGGTTCTAGTCCTGGCTGCTCCTCTTCCAACCCAGCTCTCTGCTATGGCCTGGGAAAGCAGTACAAGATGGCCCAAGTCCTTGGGCCCCTGTACCCATGTGGGACCTGGCTCCTGGCTTTGGATCTGTGCAGTTCTGGCCGTTGCAACCATTTGGAGTGACCAATAGATGGAAGACCTTTCTCTCTGACTCTCCCTCTCACTGTCTGTAACTCTACCTTTCAAATAAATAAATAAAATCTAAAAAAAAAAAAAAAATGAACTCTTAGCAGTATCTTTGTTTGAACATATCCACTGGGTTTCATAACGTTCTATAGAAAGTTCTTCAATAGAAACTGATGTTGTAACTATAAAGTGCGATATAGTGGAAGGTACTTTACTGGAAACTGGAGAAGTGGATGGGGGAATAATTTGTTAGTAATGTGGTCTAAGCTGCACTGTTCTTTGATGCACAGGTTTATGGCAAAAATAAAATTAGGAAGAGATGAACTGCCTATTTTTCTGGAAGCTATCATAAACGATGTTCTTAGTCAAATATTTTGAAGCTATGGAGGACAGAGTTTGAGATTGTACTTCATGTCATATCTGAGTGCGGTTAAGAATACAGCCTACTGCTTGAAAATCTGGCCAACTTGCAAGCAAGAGTAAAGATCCATTAGCAAATGAGGACAATGTCAGAAGTGAGCAGTAGCAGTGGTAAACATTCTTCTAAGAAAGTGTTGTGTCATGTCTGTTCAAGTACTGGAAAAATGGGGTATTATAATCCCAGAGTTCTCTGTAATAAATCATGCCCTCGGTATCTTCAGAGGAAAGGTTTCTAGAGAAGAAAGTTCTCTTATAGAGTTGTAAATCCATTGTAGTAGTCATGGTTATCAATATCTGGTGATAATTCTTAACATGTAAACAACATATTTGAACAGCATTCTCACATAGTGTTCAATCATTATTCTCAAAAAGTATTTATTGAATATTAATTATTTTCCAAGTAGGGTAAGTAATACTACTAACATTTTTAAAAAGAACAAACTGGGGGTTGGTGCTGTGGCACAGTGGGTGAATCTTCTGCTTGTGAGCACTGGCATCCCATATGGGTGCCAGTTCGAGTCCCAGCTGTTCCACTTCCGATCCAGCTCTCTGTTGTGGCCTGGGAAAGTATTAGAGGATGGCCCAAGCACTTGAGCTCCTGCACCCACATGGAGACCCAGAAGAAGTTCCTGGCTTCAGATTGGCCCAGCTCTGGCCGTTGCGGCCATTTGGGGAGTGAACCAGTGGATGGAAGACCTTTCTCTCACTCTCACTGTATATAACTTTACCTGTCAAATGAATACATAAAAATCTAAAAAAAAAAAAAAAAAAAAAAGAAGAAGAAGAAGAAGAAAGAAACCAAACTGAAAGGCTTGCCTTGTGGCATAGCATGTAAAGCCACCACCTGTGATGCTGGCATCCCATATGGGAGCCAGTTTGAGTCCTGGCTACTCTACCTCAGATCCAGTTCCCTGCTCACCTGCTCATGCACTGGGAAAGCAGTGGAGGATGGTCCAGCCCTGGCTGTCAAGGCTGCAAACCAGTGGATACAAGATATCTCTGTGTCTCTCCCTCTCTGTAACTCTGCCTTTAAAATAAATAAATAAATCTGAGATTCTGGAAGGCTAAGTCACAGAATTTGGAGACTTGGAGATCTTTGGTTCTTCATTCCAACCTAATTGTCCCTGAAATGACAAAGGATCATGATGACTAAAATCCTGATCTTCATTAATTCTTTTTTAAAAAGAAAATAAAAGATTTATTTATTTATTTGAGAGGCAGAGCTATAGACAGAGAGATGGAGAGATAGAAAGTAGTCTTCCATCTACTGGTTCACTCCCTAAATGGCTGCAATGGCTAGAGCTGGGCAGATCTGAAGCCAGGAACCAGGAGCTTCTTCTGGGTCTCCCATATGAGTGGCAAGGGCCCAAGCACTTGGGCCATCTTCCACTGCTTTCCCAGGCCATTAGCGGGGAGTTGCATTGGATGTGAGGCAGCCCATATGGAATGCCAGTGCCACAGGCAGATACTTAACTCATTATGCCACAACATTGGCCCCTTCTTCACCAACTCTTAAATTTGATTACTTAATGCCTCAGACAAAGTTTGGCTTATCTGTTTCTGTTTGTGTAGTGATATTTTCTTTAACTGCTGTTACAAACAGTTCTCAGGATCCATGTCACCACAACAGAAGCACAGAATGCTTTGCTCTACATTACTAACATTGACTGGGCGCACACTATGTGTTAGGTATGGTTGTAAGCATTACACAGACATAATCTCACTGAATGCTTAAAATAGCCTTCTCAGGAAAGTTCATCGCCCCTCTTTTGTGTATATAGAAAAGAAAGGCTCAGAAAGATCAAATAGCTCTCCCAAAGTCTTAAAAAGAAATATAAATGGCCCAACAATCCTTATAGGTGGACATTTAAAGGTTCAGGAAAATCAGAAGCTGAACCAATAGATCTTTATGATTCCTACCTGAAGAGCAGGTAGGGTGTGAAAAAAAATGTTGGACTAAGAACAAGAGGCAGGGCTGGGTCTATATCCAATTTTGTTTAACTGTTATGTTCACAGCTTAACTGTTCTGCTATACTGAGACACAGGTCCAAGAAGTTTCTAATAATTTGATTCCCTACTCAGATAATTATGCTAATAAATTTTGGGCCATCATCATCATAGCCATTATAATTTATTGTGCCAAGCACTTATAAGTGTATAACAGTCATAGATTCAGGAACAAATATAAATCTTAAAGTCTCACTGAGAAAGGACAAGGAAGTGCCCCTCCACCTAACATTTTTTTTTAGACATCAAAAGCTTTTTTGCTTTGCTATTGGATTCAGGATGTTGACAAGGTAGTGTATGTGCTTTGGATTAATAAACTTCCCTGAACAACTGCATATAAGGTAAAATAACTCACTGACAAAATTGTTGTAGTGTGTCAGATATTGTTGCTAGATGCTGTCATGTAGCTGACAGGTTTAAGTACTCAGTAAGTGTACATTATGCCAAGATTTGAGGAAATGAGAAAAGATCATTATCAATTTCACCTCTCTGGGATTCATTTCCTATTTTTTAAATGACAGTGTTGGATTTCCAGGTTTTAGCAGTCTTAGGTGTTTTGAATTTGTGTAGTCTTCTCCATTTCACCTGGCACTAGTTCCATGTCAAAATATTCGTCATATCATAGCTCCATAATTAATTCTTAAATGTTTAATGAGCTCCTACTAGTGTGGTGAATGATGGAAGGTCTGTTTGTGGAGCTTACAGTGCAAAGGATAAAATAATTTTCAACTGAACAAATATTTATTAATAATAAGTAAAAATTAACCATTAGCTGGAAAAGTGCTAAAAGGAAATAAAGATGTGTGATTTCTTTCTTCATAAAACGAAGCAGATGATATACTTTCATTTCCAAAAATGACCTAATGAAGTCATCCAATTTTTTAAAATGAAAAAAAAAAATTGACTTACCACCAATTGATGAACGGATAGCTATCATCGTGATTGCTCCATTTCGGGTCTTCTAGGCATAGGGCTGAGAGGTTTCCCAAAGACAGCAGCAAGAGAAAATCACTTTTGGGGGTTTCTTCTGGTAAGTCAAAACGAAAGACAAACTGAAAAGAGAGAACCTGGAGTCAGGAAAATTGCCAACCTGGTATGGCTATCACAATTTCATTCCCTGCAGGCTCCCTAGGCAGGAGGAAATTTGAATGGAAAACCAACCAACTAGCCAACCAACCACTAATAATACCATGAACTTCAGAGCAGATTTCTTTTCGTTTATTACTGCCCAGTGCCTGGAACGTGGGAAGAAGAGTTCAAGGTGTAGTTGAGTGAGAGACAGCTCCCGGGTATGGCACCAGGAAGGGCAGGGCGGAGAACGCCGCGGGCTGGCGGCAGGCGCTGCCCCTGCGAGGTGAGGGTGTACAAACACTTTCGGCCGCGGGAGCCGCGCGCCGCTCAGGTAGCGTAGCCCTTTCCCGCTCAGGTGAGCTCCTCCCGCGCCTCCCATTGGCTGAGACGCCCATGGCGCTGGGAGGGCGACGCAGCCCGGTCTAGTTCAGGGTCTAGGGCGGCGCGTCACTTCCGGTAGCGCGGAGCTTGTAAAACACCCTGGAGAGAAAATGGCGGCAGCGGCGGCGGCGGCGGCTTCAGCGCCTCAGCAGCTCTCGGATGAGGAGCTTTTTTCTCAGCTCCGCCGTTACGGCCTGTCTCCCGGCCCTGTGACGGAGAGCACTCGCCCCGTCTACCTCAAGAAGCTGAAGAAGCTTCGAGAGGAAGAGCAGCAGCAGTACCGGTCGGGGGGCCGCGGCACCAAGACGCGGAACAGTAATAACAATAACACGGCAGCCGCCACGGTCGCCGCCGCGGCACCGGCGGCGGCGGCGGCGGCCATGGGGATGGGGGTCCGGCCGGTCTCGGGCGACCTTTCCTACTTCAGGACCCCTGGGGGTCTGGGCCGAATCTCAGCCTCAGGCCCGGAGAGCCCCTCAGGAGGGCCCGGGGGCGCGTTGGCCGCCCCCGCGGTTGGCAGCAAAGTGCTGCTGGGCTTCAGCTCGGACGAGTCGGACGTGGAGGCCAGCCCCCGGGACCAGGCCGGCGGCGGGAGGAAAGACCGGGCTGCGCTCCAGTACCGCGGGCTCAAAGCGCCTCCGGCGCCCCTGGCCGCCAGCGAGGTGACTAACAGCAACTCGGCCGAGCGCAGGAAGCCCCACGCGTGGTGGGGGGCCCGAAGGGCGGCGGGGCCCGAGCTGCAGATCCCGTCGGGGAAAGATGGGGCGGCGGAGGATGAAGAAGAGGAGAGAGACGACGGGGAGGAGAGGGACCCGGAGGCCGAGGAGCCGCTGTGGGCGAGCCGCACCGTGAATGGCAGCCGGCTTCTCCCCTACAGCTGCAGGGAAAACTATTCGGACTCGGAGGAGGAGGACGACGACGACGTGGCCTCCGCCAGACAGGTATCGAAGGACGACTCCCTTTCCCGGCATCGGCCCAGACGGAGCCACAGCAAGGCGCTCTCTCCGCTGACTGCTAAAGCTGCCGGCAGCCGGCTGGAGACTTCAGTCCCGGGAGGGGGAGGACTCGCGATGAATGACAGGGCGGCGGCTGCCGGGAGTCTAGACAGGAGCCGAAACCTCGAAGAGGCGGCGGCGGCGGAGCCGGGAGGAGGGTGTGATCTAGTGGACTCCAGCCCCGTTCCTAGATTCCGCGGGAACGCCAAGAAGCTGGCCCCTCTCCTGACCCCGCCACTTACGGACATGGACCCAACATTGGATTCGTCGTCAACTGGCTCCCTCCTTAAAAGCAACAATCATATCGGCAGCGGGGCCTTCGGAGTGGACTCTCCCAAGATTTATTCCAATAGCTTTCCTCCCAGTCCGGCGGGGGCCGCCACTAGTTCGCTCAGGATCAACCACGCCAATCACACGGGCTCCAATCACACCTACCTGAAAAACACATACAACAAGCCGAAGCTTTCCGAACCCGAAGAGGAACTTCTCCAGCAGTTTAAACGGGAAGAGGTGTCCCCAACGGGGAGTTTCAGTGCTCACTACTTGTCGATGTTTCTCCTAACTGCTGCCTGCTTATTTTTCCTAGTGTTGGGACTGACTTACCTAGGGATGAGAGGGACAGGAGTATCAGAGGATGGAGGACTCAACAGTAAGTATTAAACCCTGTAGACAACAAAAGGAATGTTGCTGGTAGCCTGCTTTAGCTGTCCTTAGCATTTGACATGAGGTGACTTTCAGCTGTAAGATCATGATTTAACAGCACAATGCAACCGAGGGAGCGCATGTGTCATCTTTCTGTAAGAAAACAGTATTACCGTGATCAAAATGATATCTTGTGTTTGGTAGTTTAAGCTTTTTGCATGATGTATTGTGAAATTCAAAATAACTTCTAAGAAAATGTTATGAGCCTATCAGTAAAATGCATTTGTGCATGAGAATTTTCTTTTAGCTTTAAGTAACTGTGCCTATACCAGCAACTCAACAAAATATTAGTATTGTTAAGGGGAATGACTAATGCAGTGGTTTTTCAAATTAAGCTGTGATTCTAAAGGCAATGTAGTATGTCTTGAAATTTAGGCTAAATAGTAATATTAAGTATTTGTGAAGATAGAGTGAACCAATATGAAAAAGCAGTAAGGCACACCTCTTAACTGATTTCCCTGGCCCAAAGCAACCCCTCCACCCCTTGAAAAAAACAATGGTAGGGCAGTGCAGAAGCTTGTTGTCAGGTGTTTGCTGGATTAGTTTCTAGGCCCTGCTGCTTACTTGGTCAGTGATGGGCAGGTGTGTTCATTCATTCATTAAGCCAGCAAAATCTGTGCTGAGCATACAGCAGTGATAAGTCAAAGTACCCCTGCCCCCAAACACAAAAAGAAGGTGACTATAGAACATTTTGTGTTCTGTGAAGGAAATAAGGAAGGAATAGTTGGTGTGCTCTGATTTAGGTTGGATGGTCAGAGCAGGTAGTGCTTGAGGTGAGACCTGAAGCAGGAGATGGCCTTGTTGAGAAAGATGAGAAAAGGCCTTGAGTTGCGCAAGAGGCTTCCTGTAGGTTAGAGTTGTTCAGGACTCTTGAGCAAGAGGAGGAGCTTTCTTTTCATAATCTATAAAGTAATGTTAATACTGATTTGGAGGAAGCTTGTAAAGTTCAAAAAAGAGAATGTACGTGCATAATGGAATGCTACATGTGTATTTTCTCAGTGTCAGGTTCCTCTCTTTATTTCCCATGACAACTTAAAAACCAAGCACGACTTAACTCTTTTTACCCAATGTGAACTCACTGTAACATGATTTGTATTTATAAAATTGGGTTACTGTGTTAGTTGTATTACAAAATAGAATGAAAGATGCAGTTAGCAGACGTAAAAGAGTAGGAGTCAAAATAGTCTAACTTTTGATTTAGCACCAATTCAAAGATAGTCAAGTAATAGATTATTACTTTATAGTTTAATTACAGGGATCAGAAGAGAAGTGAACTGTTTATTTTAATTGGTTCTCTGGGAGTAAGAGTGATGTAGTATGTCTTGCCTCACATTTTTGGGAGAAAGAAATATGGGCACACTGAAAGTTACATTTGTAAAGTTTACGTAAATTAAATGGCATTACCTTTCAGCAGTACCTGTCTGCATCTATGTGTTTCTCTAACTAGACAGCTATATGAGCTGGTCATTTTCTGAAAGCTGAACATGTCACACATATTGCCTGATTTAATCTTACCAACAACTCATGGAAGCAGATGGTGTTATTTTATGGCTGAGGATGATGAGACATATAAAAGAAATGTACCCACAGTTGAATAGTTAGTGGTAGGAGTAAAATTTGCTTTCAGAATTTTTCCCAACTATAAGGCATAATTTCTTAGTACTAGTTTGGCTTGTTTTTGTAGAGCTATTATTAAGAAAATAATTGAATATTTGGTAGGATTTCATACATAATTACTAATGAGCACACTTTTCCTTTAAGGTGACTCTCACATCTATTCTCGTCACTGTTCAGGTGAATGATTAATGTTATCTTATGTACTAAAACTTCAAATAGTATAGGATTGGGATGCTAGAGTTTTGGAACCCTCTTTACATCCATCCATATAGGACGAAGGAAATTTGTATTTTAGTAAATGGTGAACGTGAGGTGGCCTGGGGGATGGAAAAAATGGTATTAAGAGGTGGAGGATCTAGGTCCTTTGACTTGCCTGAATGACTTTGATCAAGCTCCTTAACCTCTGAGTCTTACTCCTATATGCTGAATGGAATATAACAATCTATGTTGTCTGTGGACTTGTTGAAAGAGTCAAATGAAGTAGTTTGTTAAACAAACATAGGGTGGCATTATTCAGAGCTTTGGATCAAATTTGTTATATTCCTGGTAAACTAAAGTGTGTATGTAAACGAATAGTTAAGTCATTTCTGAAAGTGATATTTAGTGCATTTCTAACCTATTTAATGTTTAATTTTCATTAAATCCATTAAGTGCATATTGTAGAAATTGATACAGAAATTTGAATCAAAGCATATAGAATCTTTAAATGTATGATATACTTGGTATATTGAAAACCCTGGTGAAAAGAAATTCCTTCTAGTTCAGCTAGTCACATAGCTAACGGATTTCAAGAGTGAATAATTTTTACTCCCTGTATTTATGCATTCTGAATCCTTTGTCATATTACGATCCTTAACCATAGGGTTCACTGGTCAAATAATGTGCTTAAGAAACAGTTTTACTTTAAGTAATAATTTCATCAGAAGATTGTAGGCTATATGCGACAGTAAGCTTTTATGAGTTAAATTATGTATAACATATAATAGTCTTAAGTAGTTCTTAATCACTTGGTCTTTGAAAGCTTTTTGTTAGTACCCTGTTTTATTAAATTATTGAGTGTCTGCTTCCTTATCTTTAAAATTAAGAGGTTTGATTAGATGATCTCTAAGCTCTTTCCAGCTCCAAGGTTTAAGATTTTTAACTTTGAGTTTCCCTACCAAAACAATTCAAGCATCAGCCTGCATTTAAGTTACTCTCTTGTCCCACAGGTGATTGGATCATGACAACCCACAGAAAGAAAGTAGAGAAGCAGGATAGATTGACTATCTAAGATTCTTATGATCACTGTTTTAAAAACATTCTTTAATTATGAAAGACATGACTTTTGTAGAAAATTTGAATAGAGAGGAAGCAAAAAGAAAACAATGGTCTTTGTATGACCCTCTTCCTGGTCTCACACACACCTCATTATAAATAAGTTCAAGTATTATATCCTTTCAAAACTTTAAAATCTGTTTTTCTCATGTCAATATGTGTGTGTATGTGTATATGTATATTTTTTCATTTGACAGCAAAGGACCTACTATGTGCCAGGCCCTGTTTTAAGCAGTGGCAGTATGTAATGAACATTATATGGAAAAACAGGATGAAATCTTTTGTGGAGCTTAGGGGGAAAGACAAGTAAAATAAGAATTTCAATTAGTGGTAGGTGCTAACACACGGTAATGCTAGT